CGTGTAGACGTTGGGTTGGGATGTTGTTACCTGTGGGTGAGGGCACCTCACCAAAGACCTGGTGGGGATGCTGCCCTTCCCTGGGGAAATATGTCTTGGGCGCTCTCCATGCCTCACAGGAGGTGGGAAGCGGTGGTGACACATCCTTGGAGGAGGAAGGTTGCTCTGCACCCTGGCAGTGCAAGGGCGTTGTTTTTGGCAGGGGCATATCAGTACCGAGCACCCTCTGTGCCTGGTCTAGTGCCATGTTTGGTGTTATCCCAACACGGAACTAAAGCAGGCTCTTATAGTAGCGCTTCACAGATGTTTATTAAAAAAAAAGCCATTAAAAAAACCCCTCTCCCTTCCTTCCTCCTCAGCCTATGCAAGTGCTCATTTGGATTCTCCTAATTGTTTTAATTCTACTGATGCAGAGGAGGAAGGATGTGAACGTGACTTAGCCTTTCGTGGAAAGAGATGCCAGGCAGCTGCCTTGGGGTTGCTCCTGTCTTTCCAGGGGTATGTCCTGCATCCAGGACACAGGTCCTGAGAAAAAGCTTGTGTCTGCTGACCCAGGTCAGCTTCAGATCTTCTCCTCCTGCTGGGGTAGCCGTCAGATCCAGGCTGGCTCATCCCACCAAGCAGGGAGGGATCCCATCCTCAGGTCCTTGGGAAAAGTAACGAAATGGCACAGAAAGATGATGCAGAGAGCTGTCTCTCAAATCCAGGTGAGAAAAGTGCAAGTTGGCCTCTGAGTCTGCATGTGATCAGTCCTGCACCCAGTATTTAGTGTCCCAGAGGAGCCCTGTGACAGACACACTGCCAGGGCTCAACCTCGCCCCCCCCCATCTTCACAGCTACAATGGGACAAACTGGAAATCATGTACTAGCAGTTACCAGCTCTCTAGTTCTCACTCATTAAAATATTCCCCAGCCTAAAATTGCCCCATGGTTAGGGTGGTTGCCCACAACGACTCCCTGAGGAGCAAGGAGACTTTGCACGGCTTTAATTGCAAGACCTCCCACTTTACTACTTTAGGAAAGTAAATCACCATCATGGAGAAATAGGAAGCACAGAAAGTCTGGCAGATCCCACAAAACATTCAGTTTTTCTGTGACATTCCCCCTGAACAAGTTGAATTCTGCTGAAGTTGGAGAAAATGCAGGGGATGGTCTTCACATTCCTGTCTCAACCATTTCCATCTTGATTTTTGTATGTTCCCCTGCTTGCTCTGGGGTTCTGACTTGTGTCTAACTACTTATGTGCAGCAACTGGGGCAGCCGCCATCTGGGCACCCAGTTTTTTATAAATCTCTCGATCTTTGCTCTTGCAATACACACAGCACAGGAATGTTGGATGCTGACCCCTCTAACATGTTTCGCTGTTAACAGTCATTTGCAAAAAAGGCACGGGATGAAGAAAAAGAGTTTGAAATGTTTAATTACAAACTGCTATCGATAGCTTGATCTTAGGAGGCTCTGCCGGGCAGCCTGCGGGGATTTCCTTCCCTTTGTTTCATCCTGTTGTTTGCTCCGTGGTCGGATGCTTTTGCAGCTCTTTCACCATCCTACTCGCTCGGTGGGACGTGGTGCGTGCCCGAGGGCTCTGGCTATGCTGTCTTAAACCACCCCACCAGCTCCTGACATTACCCTGGCCCCTTGTCCTCATACCCTCTGGCTTCCTTAAGCTGCTGCAATCCCCTCGGGATGTCCTGCTACCACCAATGTCCTCATACCCTTGCAGTGACCCAGGCTTTTGTTCCTTTCTGTGTTTGCCAGGACCTGCGCTGCTGCTTTTCTTTTTCAGGAAAAGGGCAAATCTATAAAAACGCCCTGCAGATTTCAGGGAAGGAGCTCTCTGCACTCCAAATCTGGATGTTCATCCCCTGAAGTCCTCCCTCCAGGCTTGTGGCGTGGAGGGCATCCCCCAAAACCCAAGCAGACTGAGGGGGAGATACAGGTGGTTGTTGCTCCATGGGCTGCAGAAAGTGATGGGTCCTTCTTCCAGTGCAGGGTTTTGGTCTGGATCGCCAGAGGAGCTGCAAGCAGCAGCTTGCTGGGTGAAAACCCCGAATCCTCTCATGGTGAGCATCATGGTGTGGCTGAGGTCCTGGGCACATCCCAAAGGCAGCACCGAGCCTGCCTTGCACCTTTACCCCAGCACAGCTTGGTATATTGACACCAGTCCCTGGATCAGCTCCTCCAGGGATGGAGAGGGCTCTCTGCACACTGAAACCCTGAGCAGACCTCAGGCTCATCAGGCTGTGCCTCTGAATTATCACCACGACTTGGCCCAGGGCCAGCTACCACTTTGCAAAAAACCCAAACACCTGAGATGCTGAAGGCTGGGGATCATTCCCAGCAAGTGCTTTGAGTGACCCTGCCCTATTTTGGAGGCTCAGTGAGTTTAGCAGGACGGATGTGGGTGATTCTGTCCATATTGGCCTCGGCATCAGAGAATGGTCCCCAGCCTCTTTCATTTACAAGTATCAACTCAGCCTTTGGGACTTAAGCAAAACCAGGCTTGTGGCCATGCATTTGAATGGAGGAGACCGGAATCACAGATTTTGGTATCGGATCCCTCTTTCAATCCTGTCTTAGGGTTGCAGTGTGGACAGGATTCACAGCCTGTGCTTTGAGAGGTTGGAGAGGGATGCTCTAGGCTGGGAGGTTTGTTTCCTGGGAGCTAAGAAGCAGACATAATTTGTTTTTTAGTGTGTTGCCATCATTCTTGACAACACTGCTGTCTGTTGCTTCTCCCTCTTTTTGCTGGGACTATGAAGAAGCAGGGGAGGATTTAGATGAAAGCAGGCTTAGCCCTGCTGAGATGTTGGTGTGCATGTCCGTATGACCTCTGGCAACCTGGAGATGCTGTAGGCATTTATGCCCTGTGGCTCTTGAGCAGAGCTGAGCTTACACTCTGCAGCAGCTGGTCTGCAGGGAAATCCCTCCCTCTGTTTATGAGGGTCACGCTGGTGTCAGTAACGGTCTCCCCTTCCAGGCGTGAAGAGCATCTTTCCAGACCATACAAGTTAGAGTGCCAGATGTCTTGACCAGATACAGGAATGTAAACAAGTGATTTTTTTTTTTTTTTTGCTGCAGGACAAAACGCAGCCTCATATGCGCAGCCAAAGACAGAGAGGGATGTATATTTTCTCCAGCAGTTCTCAAGTCCATGAGTCTGTTCCTTCTCCTCCTGGCAGATCACCAGCTGTGCTGTGATCTGATGGCTAACAGCAAACAGCCCCTGGAGCCAGAAGAACTGGGGTCCTTTCCCGGTGCTGACACCGTGCCACTGCAAGTCCTTTGCAGGGCCATGTTTTTTATAAAATATAAAAATACCAGATTCCCAACCCACTTTGACCTCCTGTGCTGTGAGGATGTGGGAGGGTGCTGAACAGGTGCAAACAAACCTGCCCTGAAGGTCCTGCCTTTGTGCACCCATTGGGCCACGTGTTACGGATGCCTGGAAGAAATTATCTGACCTCAACATTTCCAACTGAGCTCATGGATGCAGGGACCAGTGCCTGGACGTAGCCAGCATGTCTTCCAGGAATGTAGGAGTTGTAGCAAAGCTGACACTGGGAAAGATTTCCTTTGGCTGGATGATGTTTTCCTAGTCCAAACACGGTTGCACACCTCAGTGCTGACATGAGCTTGGACGGGGAAGGTCCTGGATTGCATCCTGCTTTGCGTGATGTCAACACATCAGTTTTGGTGATGGTACCTGTAACACGGTGTTTGAGCTCTCAGGGAGCTGGGAGGCCTTGACTATTCTCTTTCTCCCCCCTTTTCTCCTGTAAATAGTCCCTCTGCTTACAGAGCAACTCAGTTTGGCAGTGACCCCACTTCAGCCCTGGATCAGAACAAGACATAGCAGAAATCCAGGCCAGGCTGAGCAGCTTCTTTGGGAGAGATTCCTGCCGGGGGAGAGGTGGCTGCAAAACCCATGGAGCTGGAGCAATGACCTGCTCTGGTCAGTGACCAGGAAAACATCAGCCAAAAGCAAAATCTGTGGCTTCGAGCATCATCCAAGGCTCAGGGCAGCACCTGCAAGGTGCTCAACCTGTCCTGCAGTGAGATGAGTGCTCCATCTCCTTAGGGCATGCGATGGTTTGGGTTGGTTAGTTTATTTTAACTCATTTGAGGACTGGAAGGACGCCTGTGGAAAGCCACGTGGCAGCAGGGAAGGAGATGGCTTGCCAGGTCCTTTCCTTTGGCAAGTACTTTGCAGAGCTGTAGATAAAAGAGAAATGGTCTCCATCCCTCCTGGGCCAGTTCATTTGATGCTTACAAAATGCTTCTGTGTGAGAAGCAGGAAGGTGGGTGCTGCTCTCAGTAATGGTGGGGCAGCTCAAACCATGTGTCCACCCGGGCAGCTGAGCACCAGTATGTCCCAAACTTGGGAGGAGATGAGGTCAGACGATTTTCTGGGAGATGATGGTCTTTAATAAGGTTTCGTTCTGGAAGTGTGAAAGAACCATCATCTTTTCCTGAAGGAGGTATGTCCTTTACATCCAGGATTTCACAAGAAGGAAGGGAAAACAGAAACTCTGAATTATTCTCCCTGACCTTCTCTTGACTTTCTCTAAAGAAGCTGTTTGTTGCTGTGTTTGGAAGGGCTCGTTCCTGTCCCAGAAAAGCTCCTGCCAGCACTGGGGATGGCTGCCGGACAGGAGCGGGGAAGTTGTGCAACCTCCTGCTTCTGCTGCTGGATGTCAGGGTCGAGGCCAACACAAACTAGCAGCATCCCAGCTGAAATGATCTGTTTGTCCAAAGCCATATTTCGGCTCAAGAAACTACACTTTCCTTGCAAATACTAACCCTGTTGTCATTTTTGGCAGCGGACTAAGGCCCTGACCTAATTTCAGAAGACCACTGGTGGCAGAAGCGGGTGTAATATTTTAAAGGCTCATGCTCAAAGGTTCACGTTCAATAATTGTGCCTTCGTGTAGGAGTTGTGGTTTGTTATGTTGCAGCTCGCAGTAATCAGGCTGGATGTTCTCTTTTTGTGTTGGCAGTTCTTCGTTTTCTGCCATGGGCTCCTGCAGCTCTCCCAGCTCCTGGTCTCTGGCTATCTGAAGAGCTCCATCTCAACCATCGAGAGACGATATGGCCTCTCCAGCCAGACGTCAGGGCTGCTCGCTTCCTTCAATGAGGTGAAAACCAGCTTGCTCCTCCTAGTCTACCTGGTGAACGTTCTCCTCGTGCTCCCATCACCCCCTTGTGAGACCTCTTGGTCTGTGTGTCCTGCTGCAGGTTGGAAACACGTTGTTGATCGTCTTCGTAAGTTACTTCGGGAGCCGAGTGCACAGACCCCGTTTCATCGGCTGCGGTGCCATCCTTGTCTCCCTGGCCGGGTTCCTCATGTCTCTCCCCCATTTCATAACTGGACCCTATGAGTACGACCAGTCTGTTGCCAGTAGGTACTCAAGGAACTTATTTCATGTTTTTTGGGGCAGATAAAGGAAATGACCTTCCCTTCAAGAGTCTGGGAACTGCAAGCTGTAGGTTTGCCCTTCAGGAATTTTAGTTTTATGAGAAGTCACAGTCCTGAAAAGCAACAGCTGACCATGGGAGGCAGAGACAGGGGACAGCTGAAACCACCCAAAAGGGGTGTGCAAACCATCAAAACATAGGCTGTGCCTCTGATTCCCCTTGTCTTCTGCATAGCCACGCAGCAGACAAACACTGAACAGAAGGATCGTCTTCCCCAGCCCTCAGGGCTCTTGTCTTCCATGTGTTGAGCCAAGTTGGCCTCATTCATGTGAACTGCGTCCTTAGTTTCATAATGTAGATAAGATAAGGTCCCACAAACACACGAGGCATGGGAAGGAGCTTAACTCAACCCAACAGGACAGCTTTGGGGGAGGAATGTTTTCTGCAGTGAGGGAGTGTTGGTTTCACACCGAATTTCTCCTACTTGTGGGGCACCTCACCTGTTTTCCCCTGTCTAGCTGAGCTGTCTTTGAGGGAATACCTTGAGGTTTTAGATCCCCTCCAGAAAATCAACCTCCTGTGGGAAACGTGCAGGTGTAAATCACTCGTGGTGGAGCAGGTCAGAATGAATTTGGGATTTTCTCCCAGAAAGAAGGTGAAGGGTTGAGAAAAGAGAGGAGAAAACCACTTTCTCGTTACCTTCCCAAATGCTGCTGTGAAGCTGCAGAAAATCATTTCGAAATCTCCGCTAAGGAGCTTTTCTCGGGCTCATCAGAGAGAGCACAGCTGGCCCATTCCACTGCAGCCACCAAAGGAAGTCTCAATAGGTGAATAATTCATGGATGAAAACGGGTCAGGTGGTAGCAGCAGTTTGGAAACAATTACCCATGCGTTTCAGGAGCGCTGGTGCAGGTGTCCCTGTGTCAAGCACTCAGAATTGCCCATGATTTGAGGCGTAACCATGGAAATCCTGTTTCACCCAGTGTTTTAAGGAAGATAAGGGTGCTAGAATCAGCACTTTCACTTACGCAGCCTTGTAATCGCTTTCCGGTTAGAATGAGTTCCCGAGCAGCTACTCATGAAATCTACAGCTTTGATCATTTACCTTTATTGCACGATCCACCAAAGGCCCTTGAAGTGACCTCCAGCTCTGCGTTTCCCACGGAGGTGGCTTTTTGTGGCATGTGCATCCATCTCGCCGTGAGCATCTGCAGGGTATCTTTGCACTTTGTTTGCACTTCCTTTCGCCACCATTTCCCACCCAGCATCTACATGCTCACTGCTATTTTAGGGAAGCTCTTTCTCCAGACCACATTTACATGCCCGCTGCTATTTTAGGGAAGCTCTTTCTCCAGACCAAGCTCCTCAGACCTTCTCCCCTTGTCATCGCAGGCATGTTCAGCAACACCACTGACCTGTGCCAGCCTGGGGTGCCGGGGTCCCAGGGAAACCTCAGTGATGCTGGTTGCACCCCTCGTGCTGCCAGGGAGAACCACGAGGTTCTCCTTGTCATGTTCATCGCCCAGGCACTGCTGGGCATCGGTGGCGTCCCCATCCAGCCCTTCGGGATCTCCTACATCGATGATTTCGCCAGCGAGAGGAACTCCCCCCTCTACTTGGGTAAGGCTGCTCTGGGAAGAGGTGAAACCAGAATTAGGTTGATAGCAAGGCCAGACAGTCTTAATTTGCATTAACAAGAGCAGAACTTGCTATAGCCCTTCTGCTCTCCCCAGTGCTAGGAGTTTATCTCCTTCAAGCTTGGACAAACTGCAGACAGACCAGGAGTGCTGGAAAATGTGATTTAGGGGAGATGCTGGGATTTTTGGCCTGAGAGTGATAAGCCAGAGAGGGATATAATAACCATGTCCTCTTCCAAAAAAGCTTCAACAATTTAAAGAACAGTCTCGTCCCTTTGTTCACCAGAGGCAGCTATGGGCTTAAGATGCAGCAAAGAAGACTTTAGATAGAAGGAAACTTGCAGGGAACTAAAAAGTCAGGATCAACCATCTGAGAGGAGAGCAAGTATCCTTCAATAGAGACGATGCTGGAAAACAGCTTGGATGCACACCTAAAAGGAGTGTCCAAGGGTGATGGGATGGGCAAGACAGTCCTTGCAGGTCCTTCTGGCCCTGTTTCCAGCTGTTATCTGTGATGATGTTTTGAACTGAATGGGACAGCAAGGGTGGCTCAAAACCAGGCCATTGCTGTCAAGAAACTGGAAATACTGCATAAAATTTTGCTCTGGTAGATGCTCCAAACCTCTGAACAGAATTTGAAAGGATCACCTATCAGACAGTAGTAGTTGAATCTTACACATATTTAATTTTTTATCAGTAATTCACATAAGAGACTTTGCTGATAACTTTTATCTCTTTAACCTTGTAAAAAACCTCTGCATCTTCTGAATTTCTTATGCCAAGGGGCACCTCTTGTTCCTGGGTGCATTTCACTCTAGGAGGCTGAAGAGAAGTGATGGGAAAGATCTGAGTTTTGCAAAACCTCTCCTATAAAGAGAGCGTGGAAAGCATGGGGCTGTTATCCTTGGAAAGATGTGAGATAAGAAAGCTGTCGGGGAAATAGCCTGCACTGGAGGCAGATGGGGTGGACCCTGGACCAGCCCAGTCCTGCCTCAAGGCATGCCTTGTCCCCGTGGTCCTTTTTCATGGGGCTAAGCCCCTCTTTGCTCTCGCCTTTCTGCAGGCATCTTGTTCTCCGTGACCGTCATCGGGCCAGGGGTGGGCTTCATGCTGGGCTCTGCCATGCTGCGTTTTTATGTCGACATTGACAAAGTCACCAGAGGTGAGTGAACATGCTCTCCGAGGGATGGCCAGCACCCTTCGCCCTGCATCCCACCTACTGACCCAGCAGCTCCTTGGAGCATCCCAACCTCCAAGATGAGGGTGCAACCTGTGGGGCAAGGGCTGGCTCTTTTCACCTGCTGTCTGTCTGGTTAAATCACTTCCATCACCTGGCGATGCTCTGGGATTGGTCCTGTCAGTGCTGGGGTTGATGGGCCCAAATAAGTGGGTCCTTCCCACCCAACTGGCACGGGCTGCCCAGAGAGGTAGTAGATACCCCATCCCTGGAAAAATTCAAGGTCAGGTTGTCTCTATCCAAAGGACTGAGTGGGGTTTTAGACACCCTGGAGATACCAAAGAATGAAATGTGATGAAATGAATAAAATAAAATGATATGTCCCAGGTTGGGAGCCACCACTTTGGAGCTGGCTGATGTTTGGGATGACTGGGGCCACCCATAGCCATCCCTTCAGTGCACTGGGTTCTCTTTGTCCACCTTTGACTTAATTAGATTTAATTTTCTCCATTTGTGTTGCAGATGAAGTCCAGCTCACCAACAAAGACCCACGGTGGGTTGGCGCCTGGTGGCTTGGTTTCCTGGTCGCAGCCAGCCTCGTGGCCCTGTCTGCCGTGCCTTATTTCTTCTTCCCACGGGAAATGCCAAAAGAGGTAGGACAAGTGCTGCAGATCCCTCTTCTGACATTGCACAGAAATACCTTGTTCATTTATATGCGCGTTCCTCCTTCGCTGCCAGCACTAGCTGCTGCGTGTGTTACAGGGATAGGGCAAGGGCTGACAGTTTCAAACCGAAAGAGGGTAGATTTAGATTAGATATTAGGAAGAAATTCTTCACTGACAGGTTGGTGAGGCACTGGCACAGGTTGCCCAGGGATATTTTGGAAGCCCCCTCCTGGGAGTGTTCAAAGCCAGGTTGGACGGGGCTTGGAGCAACCTGGTCTGGTGGAAGAGAGGTGTCCCTGCCCAGGGCAGGGGGGGTTGGAACTAGCCACCAAGGTCACTGAGCATCTCATCTACACATCTTTTAAATACCTCCAGGGATGGTGACTCCACCGGTCCCCCGGGCAGCCTAGTCTAATGCTGAACAATCCTCTCACTGAAAAATTTTGTCCTAAAATTTTTTTACAGTCTAACCCTCCCCTGGCGCAACTTGAGGCCATTTCCTCTTGCCCTAATGCTTGTTACGTAGGAGAAGAGACAATCCTCCACGTTGCTACAACCTCTTTTCAGGTCTCCCTGCAGCCTCCTTTCCTCCAGCGGCAGGCAAGCTCTGTGAAGGCTGAGATCCTCCTCACAGCCACCCTCCTTGCTCAGCCTGGAGGTGAAACTCTTTGCCTTCCCTAGGGAAGCCATGGTCTTACTCCTTCTGCTGCATCTCTTTGGAGAGCTGGTGGCAGACGCTGTGCCTACGGCCCTTGTTTCCCTTCAGGAGGAGCGACGTGTGCCCAACAGGTCCCAGTTCATAGGAAATATGAATAATGCACCAGGAGCCTTTCCTCAGAAGTGGATTGTACCCTGGGCGTCTTTGAAATACTGAGGCTGGAGGGCAGTTTGTCTCATTTCCACAGGAAAAAAAACCCCTTTTTACCTTTTTCTGTGAGGCATGGGGTTTGCTGCTGCTCCAGCATCCAGCTACACCTCCCAACCCTTCTCATTGTGACCCTTCTGCTGGCCAAAAAGGATCTGAGACACATTCCATCCTCTAAACCTCCGTAGAGTCCTCAGAGATAACTGGATGGGAAAACCCTTTGTCAGCCTGAACCTGCTCTTGCACGCCAAACCGACGTGTGTCTCTCTCTTTGCTCGGGGGCTGCTTCTCCCTGGCTCTTGCTGGAGCCCACTGGTGGGACAGTCCATTTCTCTGTGGTTACTGATGGGGTTTTTACTTCTCTGGAGCCTTCCTGAGTGCTTCAGTGCTCAGGCCAAGATGCAGAACAGCTTTGCGAGCTTCCCAAGCACTTTGCTGGCTGCAGGTCCCTGTTTTCTGGCGAGCAGCACGTCGTGATGAGTGAAACAAAAGAAGTTGTTCTTTTACAGGAGGCCTCATGTCATGGTCTTGAATGTTATTGAATTCACTGAGACGCGCTTAGTAGGTGAAATTGCACTCGTCTCAATGTCTTGGCCATGCTTTAACCTGTGTAATTGTCTTTCACTTATATTTTACCTTAGGGCAGTGTCGAAACTTTCTTGTTTAAACAAGTCCGTGCTCTGTTTGGTGCAGAATAATTCTTCGTTTCTCCTCCCGCTGCCTGAATTTCTGCGGGAATGAGTGGTTCTTAAGGAGATTTGGGTTACACCTGCCTGGGAAAATGTGACCTGTTGCACTTCTGGAAGTACAATGATCTACTCCTGGGTTGTGTATGCTGTGAGCTTTGTGAAGGTTTTGTGGTCCTGCGAGGTAATGGAGTGGAAACAACTCAGTGTTTTGCAGGGTGCGACGTGCCTGATTTATCCTTGTGAAGCTCGGTTCACTTTAAAGCCATTAAAGATGATCTATATTGGCAGAACCTGCTCAGTGTGCAAGGGGCTGCACACGACATCTTGGGAGGAAGGTTCTTCATTAGGGCTGGTGGGAATATTAATTTAATAAATGGCTCTGGAGAGAAAATAATGTACTTTGAACTAAAACAGATGCACTTTTTTTTTTGCAAGTGATGCACTCTGAGCAGTTTTGAAGAGTTTAAGGAAGGTTTAGCTGGATATAGGTTTTGAAGAAACAGCAGGAAGATTTCACCCAGCTCTCCTGGCTGATATCTGTAGGGAATGCTCCCACATGGCTGAGCACCCATTTATCTCTTTGCAGCACAGGTCTTCTTGACTTTATCCTCATTTTACCAATTTTCCTCTAGAAAGCTTTTGGAAACTGCTTACAGTAAAAAAAAAAGAAAAAGATAATAGGAAAATAATCTAAGCAATGGTGAAATTCTGGCCACCTTGCAGGAGAAGAGATGCCAGGGCCAGCTGAGTCAGTTCATGCCCATTCCTTTGGGGTATCAGCATCACCACCATCAGCTTAAAAACAAAAAACCCTCTTTATAAAGTTTGCCAGGTGCTGTTCTGGGTAAAATATCTGTTTGCTGGGGGAGCACTCAAAGTTCTGTAGGAAATCAGCATTATCATGGGTTACTTTTTTGTAGGTACAGCAGAAAAAAAAAATAAAAATCACTTTCTCTTGCTTGTCCTTGGAGTAAATCAGTGTTTGACTGCCTTTCCTTCACCAAGGGCAGCCCCCTTTCCTCTTCAGCGAGCCACAGGCAGCATCTCTAAGGTCACGCAATTACCTTCAGCCCTGCAGAAGAGATGGGTAGCGTTGGTGAGACACACAAGACAGGGAGGAAATGTGTGTCTAGGTCAAGAGGAAACATCCTCGAGTTGCACCCAGGGGAGGTTTAGGTTGGGCATTAGGAAAAATTTCTTCACTGAAAAGGTTGTTGAGCACTGGAACAGGCTGCCCAGGGAAGTGATGGAGTCACCATCCCTGGAGGTATTTGAAAGCCCTGTAGATCTGGTGCTCAAGGACATGGTTCAGTGGGCGACCTGGAATTGCTAGTTTAACGCTCAGACTTGATGATCTTAGAGGTCTTTTCCAACCTAAACAATTCTGTGTTTCTCCAGGCACAAAGCTCAGTGCTCGTAAAGCATTGACCCCAATTTTGCCTTCCTTTGCCTCACCCAGAGCAACCATCCTTTCCCAGGAGGTCCCTGGCACCACAGTGGCTTGTGCTGTGGCTTTAGGGTTGCTTCCACTTTTCTTCTCACCACAGACACCAAAGCTGTTGTTTCTCTTTGTGCTTGACTCCAGTTTGGGATGGAGAGGAATAGATGCAGCATTTCAGGGAGGAAAGGTGGTAGGAGCCCCATCCCTGGAAACATTCAAGGCCCGGTTGGATGGGGCTCTGAGCGACCTGATCTAATTGAAGATGTCCCTGCTCATGGCACAAGGGTTGGACTACATGATCTTTAAATTTCCCTTCCAACACAAACCATTCTGTGACCCCCATGGCAGCTCTGCAGCACAAAGCCCCATCCCTGACACACTGCAGAGGAGATGGGGTCAGGGCAGGGTTTTACAGACCAGCAAGAACGGACATTGGGACAACCTTTGGGTCAACCCTGTCTAAATGCAGCTGCAGCTTCAAAGATGGTCGGAATTTCCTTGGCTGCCTTCAGATTCAGGGTTTCTGCCTATCCAAAGCAAGAATACACTATTTCTCTTCTCTGATTCTTATTCTACCTTAACCTTCCTTTTTTTTTTTTTTCTTTTCTCCTGCTTCATGCTATATGACTCACATGAGCCTTTGGTGGTTTCTCCAGAGTGAGGACCATCCTCCTAAGCAAACACTAAATAACAGGAGAACCCTCTGTCTCTTTGGAGGCTTATTTGCCTCCTTCCATCAGCCAGGACAGATCTAGATTATTTATTCTACAACCACATTTCAGCTTCACCTTTATCTGAGAGCTTTATTCTTTGAAGTTCCTGGAAAGACTTGTGCACTTAATGTTAACATTAATGATAATAGGAGTTTGATCTTTTGATCTTTCTTCATAAATCGATCGCTCCAGACGTGGAACATTTTTATTTCTCTGCTTTGATACTTGTCAGTAGGTCTCCAGCATTGAAGTATCCTGAATAATCTTATCTGAGGGACAATCACAGCAAAGCTATAAACTTGTCACAAACTCAGGTAGGCGGTGAGAAGATGAGGCTGTTACTGGACAGTTTCCAGTCAAGACCTTTTTTCTTTTTTTTCCCCAATAATTCCAGTTTAATCCTGCCTGAACCATTTCTTGGGGTTGTGTTCTGGATTGTGGGAAATTACAGCATCTGAGCATTTTCCAGATGCAGGGTAGCCCAAGTTTAGCTTGTGTTTTCCCCTCCGTCACTGGCTATGGTATCATATCACAACCCAGGCAGTTATATTCTGTTTGCTAAAGGCTTTCCCTGTGTCTTCCCTTGGGCACAGTCTCTGGCCATCTTGCAGATTTAGCAGCTCTTGCATTGCAGCTGGTAAAGCACCTCCCCAGTCCCTGCAGCTCTGCGAATGGCGTGAAAAAGGTCTGAAAAAGGGGAGATGCTCTCAGGAGCACCTTAGGCAAAAGCAGGAGCATCGCCTTTGCTCGGCGTTTCTCGTCTGCGAGATCTGGCTTGCACACTCCATTACCTCCAGGTTCAGGTTTCCTTCCAAAGTCCTGTGGAACCAAACATCTCCCAAACGCTGTAAAAGGGGGCGAGCGACACTTCATCCTCGCCCCAACAAAGCCTCCCTTGTAACGCCAGCACACACCATCTGCCAACAGATGCCTCGTGGGAAAGCTCGGATGGATTTTATGGGAGGCAGGTCTACCTGTCCTGGTGGTGTCCAAGCCCCGACAGCTCCGGTTTGCCGTCACACGATCCTCCCTGGATATCAGTCCATCTCATCAGTGCCTTCCCCCTAAACCTTACTGGTAGCAGGTTCCAACAACTCATTTCCCTGCATGTTGCAAAGCTTTGTGTAATCTCCAGTCTATTCTTTTTAATCGGTTATCCTGTCCCTAATCCTCATTAAATATTGTTTCCTAATAATTTATATATTGGCATGGTTATAGAAAGCTTTCTTTGAGGGAGGCTAGCCAGTTCTCTGCTGCCAAAGAGCTTCTCCATCCCAGCA